GGGGAGGGGGTTTAGGCGGAGACCCAGGCTGTGACCCAAATCCCTCCCACGTTTATACCATGGTTAATAACCTTCCATAGTTACATGTAGCATCCTATTCACTGGTAGGATAATATGCAGAATCATCTGCTGAATGTCCAGACACCAGATATGACATATCTGCCTGTGACGGTTAAAGAGATATCACTTTCTACTCTCGGGTAGACGTTATCTAGGGGGTGAGGTATCAGGTGACTTGTATTAAAATGTCCTACCTGAATAGATGCTTTGTTTTATTGTACTTTGTTCCTGTCGGGAGTTATGGATTTGTATGAAAAAGTGATTTCAGTGGAATGTACGTTTTACTGCTACTCCGGAATGCTTTTCATGTCCAGTGACTGACGGATTTATAACTTTATCAGGCCAGAGCAAGAGTCTGGCAGACCTCATGGAACCATCTATTGGGTTTGACCATGAAGTGTATCCAGCTGTGCCCTGTGTACTCCTGAACTCAGCACACACACAGACCACATGCCATTCAACAAAAAGGGAGGGGACTGATTTGTGAGAATGACACAAGATGGTGGATCTTAGCAAAATGGTTGTCCACATCCATTTCTGTGCGCAATTGCTACACCCCCCCCCCCTTTGTCGGCAGGTTTAATGATGATTTTATGGTTCTCCTGTAGTGCCTTAAGGGCCGAAAAAATTGGAAGGAGTTAAATTATGATGGCTGATAGTATTATTGGAACACAACTTTTTGAGGTCAGTGTAAACCATGGTATAAAATGTTTCAATAAATGCCCCTTTAATGTGGGTGGGTTAAAAAAAATTATTTGGCTTTAAATTGAGTATGTACCGGAGAATGTGATCAGACTAAAGTTCTGGATTGATATCCCCATTTTCCCACAGTAGTTCTTCCAGAATCTGTAGGGTATTAGCATCTACCAGTAGGTTGTCAACAGGGACAGATATGGAAATATAGTCTAGACATGCCTCATTATTTTTGGCACCAAGGGATGATTGGTTAATGAAAAACTTTTTTACTGTAAGATTTTTGATAAATTTGTTAAGATCTTTAAATAAAGTATATAGATTCGGTCCTGTCATAGAGTAAAAATGTAGACCTTTATGTAGTATAGAAAGCTCATCGGCGGAGAGGGAATATTGAGATAAGTTGAATATTTTTATGGTATTGGATCTCTATTTCTTATTCTTCTATCTCACACATTGTCCAACTATTTTTGTAAGAGTCTTTTCTTATGTGTCCTAATTCACCACGCTGATATGTTAAATGTGCTGTATACACAGTATTAATAGAATAGTTTACTGGTGATCTATCAAACATAGTTTACACATTGCCCGCCCAGTCTCCTCCCCTCTTTCCATTATAAGCGATCCATCCAATCCCTCTGTATGGTTTGCCAAAGGGACGGTCCTTGTTGCCCCCAAATGCATAACCACACCCCCCATGTCATCCTCCGGATTCTCTCTGCATCTCTGCCATGGCCACAGCTTGTTACTGGCATCGAGCTCTCCACTGCTGTTGCCTCTCTCCCTGGATGCCGGCTGCCATTAGACTGCCTGGCTGTGATCAGCAGTGTTTCCTCAGCTCTTTCCACACACTCCTCCAGCCGCCTCAGAATTAACACAGCTGATCCAGCCACAAACTTGCCAAACTCTGTAGTCTTCCTTTGTTTTTATGCTCTGATTCTTTTAATAAATGTGAGTGCAATTTTTTAATTCTCCCTTACAATCTACACTTAGATGGTGGCACTTCCTATGCTTTTTTCCTTGTACAGATTGAAGAGTGTTATCCAATCCTCTTTAAGAGAAGCTGTAACCATGTCCAAGTGATTTTTAGTGACGGATATGGATTTATTTATGAGATAATTTTAGAGACCCTCCTTCCCAGCTGCAGTTCACTATCCATATCCCTAGCTCAACTAGCGCCATGACATTACTTTACCTCTCTGGAACTTCTGCTGACTTCTCCTGGGCAGCAACTGTGAGCACTGGCTCGTCAGCAGCATCTCCGGATGATAGGTTGGTCACAGCAGGCAACACTCTGCTGCACATGTTGGCTGAGGGTGCTGGGGAGTCGTGGTCCTGAGACTCAATTTGTCAGAGCCTGGGATCGAACCTGGGCCTACTGCAGTGAGAGACAGTGTTTCTTCTCACTGAGCTACCTGGGATGCTGGACAACACTCTGCCTGATCTATTGGATAATCCTGCCTTCTGCCTTGTGTTCTCTTGAACCTTGAACTCCTTGCTCCTCCCTTGAACTTCCTATAAAAGCCATGTCCATGCACCTCCTCCTTGCAATATTATTGTACCTTCCAGCCAATATCCCGCTTCTCTGTCCTGCTGCCGTCTACATCTTCGCTACCGACCTCTGGCTTGTTACTGACTACGATTTTGCCTCATCCTATCTACTACAATTTGTGACCGACCCTTGGCTTGATTCACAAGCAGCCAAATCCATCTCCACCATTAGGAGCTCTGGTGAAGACCGGTGAACACTTAGACCCCGCACCTCAGGTGAGCCTGCGTCATTCCCAGGGTGATCCGCTGGGGTACCTATCCTGCTGGTTTCAGGTAAGCCTTACACTGCTGTAGCAACTGATCTCTGAACCTGACTGCATTCCTTGACACAATTCCTCTCTGGATCTCTGGGTCAAGACGCATTCTGATCTTCTGTCATTCTGGCTTCTCTGTGCACAATCCTGAATGCAGATCTACCAGATCGCTGGGTAGCAGCTTGGTTGGTGGCACTACACAGTGTCCACACCTGATCCATTCTCTGATCAGTGTGGTGGGCCTCCTGCAGTCAGGACAAAGTAGACAAAGTCTCTCCGCTCCTTCCACCAACTCCAGAGCAAAGCCGCCGCTATGCTCAAGGCAAACCCAACTGTCCACCAGGGTAACCTCAGGCAGGAAAACTCTGGGACAAATTGGTAGTGCAGCTGCCATCTTCCTACTCTCACGCTCCCTCTCATCATGCTGGATGTATTGGGTGGGCTCGGGGGCGTGGCCATGCCCTTCCTTCAGACATTTTGGCACCAGCGAGACCGCCATGCAGAATTTATTCAGGGTATGCTGACTGGATTTGTAGTACTGAATCTGGGCAGAGACACAAAGGCAGTTCACTGGCAGGAACAAGAAACTTGGCTCCAGCCATTGTTGGACAACTGGTGTCTGTAGATATAGTAGCAATAGTCTGCAGCGGTTGCTGTAGGCAAAAGCGAGGAACGGGACACAGCCCCTGCTGAACACTGTTGAATAAAGAGAGTCACTGGGCCCAACTACTGTTGGGATGTATTTGTAATCCACTGGACAGCAGGCTGTTTTGGTTGCCCTGGGCAATGACAAGCAAGGACACGTGGCAAACATAGATTTTAGCAGGCTTGAATAATAATAAAAAAGTCCACAGGCCTCAGCCGCTGATGGGAAACAGGGCATTTGTAGAGCAGCAGCAAAGGGACTTCTATAGACTGGCGGGCAATTTCGGCTGCTTCAGGCAACCGCAAGCAGGACAGCAACACACATTTTCTGGCATTGAAAGGACATAGTCTCTTTAACCAACCACCTGTAGAGCAGCAAGGAAACTTTTGGATAGGCCCAACATGGTTGCTATGGGCAACATCTGTAGCTTTAGATCACAGTAACAGTCACAGCTCCAGCAGTACAGCCCTCTCCACTCCTTCTGCCAGATTCCACGATACTTTCACTGCAATAAATCACTTTTCTTGACTCGTTGGTTGTCTGTGTGCTGCTTTTACATTACTATCTGTCTGTTTTTTTTCCCTGCTTTTCAGGGAGAAGAAACTGGCAGATTGCTATTCCCTGAATACAGAGTTCTGTTTGTTTGTGTGTGATTGGCCACAGCTGATCTGTTGACTTCAACCAAAATCATTGGCTGCACTCAGCTGCCAAGCTTGTGCTGTGTCCAATCACTGTGGGGTGGGCAGCAAGCGGTTAAAGTGGTTGTAAACCCTGGAAGAATTGGGAGAACGGGAGAGGTCTGTGTGTAAACAGCACAGGTCTCTCCCCTATCAGCACAAAAAGGCTGCTTTGTATTGCTCTGCACAGCAGTACATTTTGGGCTGAATTTATGAAGAAATTTTTTTACATTTTTTTTTACTGGTTATGTTTTATAGCAAAAAGTCAAAACGTCAGCCACCAAACTTTAATGACTTGGAGAGGATCTGCCAAGAGGAATGGGCCAAAATCCCTCCTGAGATGTGTGCAAACCTGGTGGCCGACTACAGGAAACGTCTGACCTCTGTGATTGCCACCAAGGGATTTGCCACCAAGTACTAAGTCATGTTTTGTGAAGGAGATCAAATACTTATTTCCCTCATGAACATGCAAATCAGTGCATAATTTGTTAGACATGCATTTCTTTTGTTTTTTTGTTGCTATTCTGTCTCTCAGTGTTACAATACACCTACCATTCCATTTGTAGACTGATCATTTCTTTGTGAGTGGGCAAACATTCAAAATCAGCAGGGGATCAAACACTTCTTTCCTTCACTGTAGGTGCTTTCATAGCGTGATTCAAAATCCTAGCGATATAAATGAAAATTATAATTATGCAAGGAAAATATAACTAACTCTTATGAACAAGTCCTAACATGCCCTATTATTTTATACATTTACAAAACTGACCCTGCAAAGCATACAGCAGCTCATTCAAAGAGTTGTAAATCTTTTGCTTGTGTAATCCTCGTGCTCACAAGGTGACGTTATGTCACTAAGTAAAACATTAGCCTTAGTCATCCTTCGACATTCCAGCTTCATGTCGCCTATAAAATTTATGAACTTTGCCAGAGTTTACAATACTAACAATAGGAAACAATGACTTCATTACATTTATTACTATGATTTTTAACATTTTAACATTGTTATCTAAAGTTACAAATTGGGGCATAATTATAAATAGAAAAGAACCACATTTAATCCACCTATGTAGACTTTTTTTTTAAATCCTTAAAGTGATACTAAACCCTGTACCCTGCATTCACCATATCTGGTCTCCCACAGTACACACAACATGGAAATGCAATTATTGTAGTAAATATAAACTGCTAAATACCTTTTCTCATCAGCAGTTAGAGCAGTCTTGTGACTTCAGCAGGGCACTGGTTAAACTTCTAGGAGGAGTTTTCTTTCTGCTCTAGGGGGATGTGAAACCTCTGACCCTCTTTCTGGACAGTGATGATTGGCCCTGTGCTGATCAAATGCACTCTCCCAAGAAAAAAAAAAACCTCTCTGGTAATACACACCAAACTGAGCATGTGCACGTGACTATGGATTCAGTCTGTATCAGGTGGTCATTTCAACAAGAGGAGGGGAGAGGAGAAAGGGTCAAATAGCCTTTTTACACAATGAAGAGAATTAACCCCTTAGGTTCCACAGTGAGTATAACAAGCATGTTTTACTGCATTTTTGCAGACTGATTTTACTGTTGTGGGTTTAGTAACACTTTAATGTGACACTGTTATTAATTTAGAAAGTTAAAAAAAGCCTCTCTGTAAAGAAGAGACTGCATATTCACCTGTGTTGTAATGATGTGGGGGCCAACATGAGGAACCACAGATGACAAGACATCCAGGGGACTGGGCATCTGACACTCCAGGAAGTGGGTCAGATTAAATGATTCTCCAAGCACACTAGCTCTGGAAGAGAGAAAAGTTTGGTAACATGAGAAGGGGGCAGTATAATGTCTCTTCTTTACTGGGGAAACTGTGAGGGGGATTTACTAAAACTGAAGCACTCAGAATATGGTTCAGCTGTGCATAGTAGCCAATCAGCTTCTAGCTTGTTCAATTAAGCTTTGACAATAAAACCTGGAAACTGATTGGTTACTATTCTGCCTACTTTCTAAGTTAATAACAGTGTTGTTTAAAAATCCAACTCCAACGAAAAGTGCTTTTAATTTTGTAGTAGGAAAGTATAAAAAAAGCTAGAAGGAAATCTAGATTTAAAGGAGTTATGTGATCACAATATACAGTACATTTTCATTTTATAGCACCAACGTTGTAAAAGCAATGCAAGCAATTAATTTTTACAATCGAGTATAATTTTTCTTGAAAAATCTCCTTTCATGTTGTGAGTGCTGCCTGTTTGCTGATCAGTTTTCCACAAGTTCCTGGATTCCCTGTATGTTTTTCAGCTTATCGTCTGCTGTTTACTTTTAATTTCTGAGGACTACCTATCCCATGGTACCTTGCTGCCTGCAAACAGTCACTCTTGTATTGACTCTGCCTCCTGAAACTCCTATCAGCACCTCTGTAGTTCAGAAGACAGGCTGTGGGAAATCTGTGACACAGCAGTGCCTAATCACAGGGTATAGTGAATATGTGTCATAGAACTCAAGGAATAGTGCGTTATCAAACCTCAAAATCTTTCAAATTAATAAAGTAGGGCAAACATAATTGAAACTCAATTTGGAATAAATATATGAAATTAAAATGTTGACCACAGATATATTTTAAAATGTTCTATGTGTTACGGTAAAGGAGAGCTCATGTCTTTTCCTGTTCTCTATGTCTCCCATCCCCAACGCAAACAGGAAGTAAAGGGAAAACTCCCCAACAGAGATTCTACTGGAAATATTGCTATCATTACTGTCTGTGTCCACAATTGGGGAGATAAAATCTAATTTCATGTTCTTTATGACACTTAGCAAACAGACAGGAAGTGAGGTGGCCTTGCCTGGAGTGGACTAAAGGTGTGTAGGGAACCCACAAAGGAGCCATTGAGTGAATAAACCCTCTAAGACTAATCTGGTAGATAGACTACTGGTATTACCACTTTAACTACTCTAACACACCCCTGCTCAGTGAGTTAGACAACACCAGATGGAGTAGAAGCTGTAGTTCTGTTAATATTGAACAGCTTAACTGAGTATAAAGTAACACAATCAATGAACAAGAGAATGCAATTAACACTATACAGAGACCTTTTTCTGCTACAAAAAGTTTGTGGACAATAAAGCAAAGGGTGACCAGGCCTAATTTTCACTAGAAAATAAGATCAGCTTAAACTGTAACAAGACCACAAGGGGTGTAATAATGGTGGCTAAGAAATATAGTACCAATCCCTCTGGAGACTATGCCACCATTAGAGCCCTGGAGTGACCCGGCTATGTTCAAGTCTGCCTGCAGACCTTCACTGTATACACATTGAACTATCCTCTGTAAAAGGAATAAGGCTGGGACAAAAAAGGTCTGTTGGGAGAGTTGATATGGAATGAAGAATTTAGTTTTGCTGACTTTGTTTGGGCCCATACAGTGGTGCACTATATTGGAGTTCAATGGTTTTCACTTGTCTAAAGTCAGAAGGACAACTGCAGCAAAGGTAACTGTAGGGAATATAACTCAGTGAAGAGCTCAAACCAGTAACAGAGATACTGTAAGTTCAGGAAGGGGAGCGAGGTTTCCAAGACTGATACTGAGTCAGAAAGGTAATTCTGGATGTTTGAGGCAATAGCCTTGAGAGCAGACTGGATGATTTCCAGAGAGTGGAAGAGTAAAGCAGTAATGGGCTAAGGTTTCAATGTCTGCTGTACAATGTGTGAAATGGGTTAGCAACCCTCTCACCAAACTTCTGCACTTCACCTGTAAGTTCCACCGATGGAGGTGCCCATCATCAACTGACGACTTTGGCAAACCCACATGGCCCTTCTGGAACAGCTGAGAGTGGACTGGTGATCCCTTTCTGTGTCTCTGGAACAGCTGAGGGTAGACCAGCAATCCCGCTCTGTGTTCCTGGAACAGCTGAGGGTAGACCGGTGATCCCTCTCTGTGCCTTTGCAGATAGCACCTGTTTGCCAGCGTGGCCTATCAGACTCAGCACTCCATCCCTCACACCCAGCTTCTGCTCCGGTCTGATGCCAAGTGCCCTGAACCCTCCCTGCCTGTGAAATTATACATCTGTAGATGCACTAAGGCATACACGGCATTCCAAAAGACATTTGTCACTAAATGACAGTTCCAATCCCTGGCCTGCAACAAGGTAACTGGGGGAATCCAGTGCCCCCCCACAAAAGAAAAAAATGCATACCAGGTCCCTATCTAAGCATGGAGCCTGGCTTGCCATAAATGGGAGTGGCAGTTAGTTTGCAGCCCCCTCCTGAACCAGACCAGACCACATCCCTTCAACATTGGGAGGGTACCCTGCCAGGGGGGATGCCCTAACTACACACTGAGCCAAGGGCTTCATCTTCACAACCTTGCCCTGATGTTGTAAGGGGGTCTGGAGGTGAACTTAGCATTATCCAGAAGCTCCCTTTGCAATAAGGTAGCTCCCAGATATCCAACTCCCCCAACGTGAATGAGTATGGATACTCCAATTTACTTAATCACAATATTGTAGAATGTAAATTAAGGCCAGGTTCACACCTGCATGTTTTTTGTATGCGTTTTGCAGGAACACAGTGCATGCCATTTAACATGATTTCCTATGGATCACATTCACATACAGTTGCAAAAAAAAGTATGTGAACCCCTTGGGATTACGTGGAGTTTTGCATGAATTGGGCATAAAATGTGCTCTGAACGTCATCTAAGTCACAACAATAGAAGAACACAGTCTGCTGAACATAATACTACACAAACATTAGATGTTGCCATGGTTTATTTGCACATAACATGTAAACATTCACAGTGCGGGGAGGAAAAAGTATGTGAACCTTTGGACTTAATAACTGGTTGACCCTCCTTTGGAAGCAATAACCTCAACCAAACGTTTCCTGTAGTTGCAGATCAGACCTGCACAACGATCTGGAGTAATTTTGGACCACTCCTCTTCACAAAACTGTTTCAGTGTAGCAATATTCTTGGGATATCTGGTGTGAATCGCTCTCTTAAAATCATGCCACAGCATTTCAATCGGGTTGAGGTCAGAACTCTGACTGGGCCACTCCAGAAGGCGTATTCTGTGTTGTTGCAGCCATTGTTTTGTTGAATTACTTGTATGCTTTGGGTCATTGTCCTGTTGCATCACCCATCCTCTGCGGAGCTTCAGTTGGCGGACAGATGGTCGTACGTTTTCCTGCAAAATATCTTGATAAACTTTGGAATTCATTTTCCCATCAATGACAACAATCCGTCCAGGCCCTGAGGCAGCAAAGCAGCCCCAAACCATGATGCTTCCTCCGCCATGTTTTACAGTGGGGATGAGGTTTTGATGTTGGTGTGCTCTGCCTTTTTTTCTCCACACATAGTGTTGTGTGTTCTTCCCAAACAACTCAATCTTGGTTTCATCTGTCCACAGTATATTTTGCCAGTAGTGCTGTGGAACATCCAGCTGCTCTTTTGCAAACTTCAAACGTGCTGCAATATTCTTTTTGGACAGCAATGGCTTCCTCCGTGGTGTCCTCCCATGTACTCCATTCTTGTTTAATGTTTTCCTTATTGTAGATTGTCAACAAAAATGTTAGCATGTGCCAGAGATTTCTGTAGGTCTTTAGCTGACACTCTGGGATTCTTCTTTACCTCATGCAGCATTCTGCGCTGTGCTCTTGCAGTCACTTTTACAGGACGACCACGCCTAGGGAGAGTAGCAACAGTGCTAAACTTTCTCCATTTGTAGACAGTCTGTCTTAACGTGGACACATGAACATCAAGGCTTTTGGAGATACTTTTGTAACCCTTTCCAGCGTCATGCAAGTCAACAATTCTTGATCGTAGGTCTGATGAGAGCTCTTTTCTGCGAGGCATGGTTCACATCAGACAGTGCTTCTTGAAACTAGTAAACCCAAAACAGGTGTGTGTTTTTTAAGGGCAGGACAGCTGTCAGCAACACATCCAATATCATCACACTGATTGGAGTCAAGGTTGGTTCACTCCTGGCTCCAATTAGCTCTGGGAGAAGTCATTAAGCTAGGGCCTCGCATACTTTTTCCTCCCTGCACTATGAATGTTTACATGTTATGTAACGAACCTCCTGCGGAGATGTCCCTGACCATGGCGTCAGACTGACGCCACCTGGTCCTGTCATCCGCAGTGGGGGCACAGAGAGTTCCCGCGCTTGCGGATGTCCCTGGACAAAGGTCGCGCTCACGAGAAGCGCGGCCCGTGTCTAGGGAGCTTGCCTCATTTCCAGGCGACGAGGCACGCCGACCCCGACCCGCCCACAGTTGCCAGGATGACCGGAGAGCATCCTGCATCAGCTTAAGAAGGCTGATGCCGGGCTCCCCGATCATCTTCTCCACTGCGCAGCCATCGAGGGAGCCCAGCTGCGGTTAACTCTGTCAAAGACCCAAGGATACGGGGGGACCCCGCACACGCTAACCCTGCCTGAG